TTGGCCACTCAGTTTTTTATTAGACCAATCAGGTGCCTTAAGCAGGCAAGGTAAAACAGCAATACATCTTTACATAATTAAACAAATGCAACACCTCTTTACACAGTTAAACAAATATTCTGCAACATAAACAAATGCAACCAAAGTGCCCACCCTTTACCTGGTGCCTGCCTGGGCTGTCTCCCACCTGCCTGTCTCCCTCTCAGTTTCCTCCAAGTTCTCAGGCAGGTGGAGCTGGATTCAAATCTAGCCAATGTGCAGGAGGCCCCCAGGAAAACACCATGTCATTTGATGTCAGTTCTTGTGATCAAACAACCGATTACAACATAGGCAAGGAATTTAGAGACATTTCTTTATGAAACTTTATCACGAGTCAACCAGAAAATGGAAGTCAAACCCACAGTGACATTCTGCCTCACATTCCTCAGGATAGCAGCTGTTACCAGAGGGGAGAAAATGACAAGCTCTAGCAAGATAGAGAGGAACAGAGCCTTAAACACCATGTGGGGACTAATAAACCCTGGCAGACATCGGGGGAAAATCATTGTAATTAAACCTCTCTGGAAAATATCAGAGATACACCCAGAGGTGTGTCTCCTAGGTGGTTCTGTATCTGATGGATCGATCTTTACACAGTTAATGCAACACACCTTGGCATAGTTAAATATTCTGCAGCAATGCATTTTATTTCTATATGTGTGTTTGTCACGTGTGTACATGCCTGCAGAGCCCAGAGGAGGGTGCTGGATCCCTTGGAACTGGAGTTAAAGGCAGTTGTGAGTGCTGGGAACCAAACTCAGGTCCTTTGCAAGACCAACAAAATGACCTTAACCACTGAGCCATCTCCATAGCCCTCATTTTTTATTTATTTATTTATTTATTTTGGTTTTTCGAGACAGGGTTGCTGTGGGATGTTCTGTTTGGCAAATGTGTTGCTGATTAGTCAATAAATAAAACACTGATTGGCCATTGGCTAGGCAGGAAGTGTAGGCGGGACAAGGAGGAGAATAAAGCTGGGAAGTGGAAGGCTGAGTCAGAGAGACACTGCCAGCCGCCACGACGAGAAACAGCATGTGAAGATGCCGGTAAGCCACGAGCCATGTGGCAAGGTATAGATTTATAAAAATGGATTAATTTAAGCTGAAAGAACAGTTAGCAAGAAGCCTGCCATGGCCATACAGTTTGAAACCAATACAAGTCTCTGTGTTTACTTGGTCGGGTCTGAGCGACTGTGGGACTGGCAGGTGATAGAGATTTGTCCTGACTGTGGGCCAGGCAGGAAAACTCTAGCTACACAGGGTTTCTCTGTGTAGCTTTGCGCCTTTCCTGGGACTCACTTGGTAGCCCAGGCTGGCCTCGAACTCACAGAGATCCGCCTGGCTCTGCCTCCCGAGTGCTGGGATTAAAGGCGTGCGCCACCACCGCCCGGCTCATTTTTTAATTTTTGAGGCAGGGTCTCACTAAGTTACCTGGACTGGCTTTGAACTTGCTTTTTTACTATCTGCTCCCAGATCAGTTAAAAATGCCTCTCTCTCTCTCACTCACTCATTCCCTTTCTTTCTTTCTTTCTTCTTCCCTACTTCTCTTGTTCCCTTTCTTCCCGCTCCTTCCTACTTACAGAATGGTTGAGAGCAGCCTTTGCGGGCCCAGGTTTCACCTCCTGTTGCTTCTGCTCCACAGCATCACAAGGGTGGCATAAGTAGTTGCCACCCCCAACCCCCATGTCCAGTATTGTTGTGGAACATCAGTTAAAGATGTGTTACATTCTTTTATGCTGTGGAATATTTGTTTAACGATGCAAAGATGTGTTGCATTCTTTTATGTTGCATTCCTTTAACGCTGTAAAGCTGTGTTACTTTGCCTGCCTCAGACACCTGATTGGTTTAATAAAGAGCAGGACTGTAGTAAAAGTTTTCCTGTGTCCCAGCTGGCTGGTGGTCAGGACAAATCTCTCCTACTCATGTCCCCCAAGTAAGCACATAGAGATTTATATTAATTATAACTGTTTGGTCATTAGCTCAGGCTTACTACTGACTAGCTCTTACACTTAAACTCAGCCCATTTCTATTAATCTATATGTTGCCACATTTTCCATGGCTTTACCTGTGTGCCATTACATGCTGCTCCCTGGACATCGGGCTGGCGTCTCCTGACTCAGCCTTCCTCTTCCCAGAATTCTCCTTGTCTTCTTATCCCACCTATACTTCCTGCCTGGCTACTGGCCAATCAGCGTTTTATTAAACCAGTGTACAACAAACCATTATCTCACAGCATTTCCCCTTTTCTATTTAATTAAAAAGGAAGGTTTTAACTTTTTTTTTTTTTTTTTGGTTTTTTGAGACAGGGTTTCTCTGTAGTTTTGCGCCTTTCCTGGAACTTACTTTGTAGACCAGGCTGGCCTCGAACTCACAGAGATCCTCCTGCCTCTGCCTCCCGAGTACTGGGATTAAAGGCGTGCGCCACCACCGCCCGGCTGAAGGTTTTAACTTTAACATAGTAAAATTACATATAACAAATGAGAATTACAGTTACACTATCTAGTCTATTTGTATTTCATAAAATTAAAGAAAATATTCTATCTATCTTATATTTGTGAGTCTAAAGTTTCATATCTACTTTATCACTTATCATAACCAAGGCAAACCATAGTTATAACTATCTAGTCTTCAACTACATCAAAGACCTCGGAAGGATATAATATTACCTAAGTAAACAGGAAGTGCATTGTAAGTGACTTTCAAAAATCTAGAATGACAGAGACAGCTGCCTGCCTGAAGTCACCCAGAGTTCTTCTGCAATGTTGGGCCATCCATCTTCAGCCCATAGGTCTAGAGTCTCTCACTGGACAGCCAATAGCTGGGCAGGAGAAAGGATAAACAGGGCTGGCATGCAGAGAGAATAAAAAGGAGAAGAGAAAAGGGGGGCTAGAAAAGGAGGAGAGGAGAATGATGGAGGGGCAGTCACCTAGCCACACAGCCAGACATGGAATAAGAAGGAAAGAGAAGATATACAGAAATAGGGAAAGGTAAAAGCCCAGAGGCAAAAGGTAGACAGGATAATTTAAGTTAAAGAGAGCTGACTAGAAATAAGCCAAGCTAAAGCTGGGCATTCATTAGAAAGAATAAGTCTCCTTGTGATTATTTAGGAGCTGGGTAGTGGCCCCCACAAAGAGTAAAGAGGAAAAAAAAACTACACAGTATGATTCTGCTCTTCTGGTTTGGTAGTAGCTGTGTTGTCGAGAGGAGCGAGAGTCACCCTGGGACTATGGTCATCTTACAGGGCTGAGCTTCGACTCTTTAACAAGCGGCGGTCCTTCAGGGCCTGGGAAAACCAGGCCTCCTCTAGAACCCACTTTGTTCCTCCCATGCCACAGCTTGCTGCTGAGCAAGTGACTAGACACCTCCAACGTGGGGCCTCGTCCCTCCCAGGCCATTTACAGAGCATCAGAGACTGTCCCAGGGGCTGGTCCAGGTTGAAGCCTGAGCTTCCAACAAGAGATGTTTGGGGCATCATTATCCCCTTACAAAGGAATGAGGTGACAACCAGAGCTACTTACAAACAGCAAGACCAAAGATTAAACCCAGGGTTTAACAGTGGCCGAGTATAAGACCTTTCCTACTCACTGTTGTCTCCCACCACTGGGAAGGAAGATTAGCAAAGTGCATCTACTGGGTAGGGAACTTCTGCCAATACCTCTGGGAGAGTATGGAACACACCTAGGATGAGTGGCTGAAGGGACAGAGCCAGGGAACCCAAATAAATACACGGAGGAGACTAATACTTGCTTATGAATGCCCGGCCTTAGCTTGGCTTATTTCTAGTCAGCTTTTCTTAAGTTATCCCGTCTACCTTTGTCTTCCATGTTTTTATTTGGGAGCTGGGTGGCAGGCCCCCAAAGAGTGAAAAAAAAAAAGCTAACTACAGAAGTGTGTCACTGGGGGTGAGCTTTGAGGTTTCAAATACTTCAGTCAGGCCCAGTGTCACACTCTCTTCCTGCTGTCTGCCTGTCCAGATGTAGAACTCTCAGCTTCTTCTCCAGCACCATGTCTGCCTGCACGCTGCCATGCTTCCTGCCATGATGATCATGGACTAAACCTCTGAGCCTGTAAGCCGGCCCCAATTAAACATTTTCCTTAATAAGAGTTGCTCTGCCAGGTTGTGGTGGCACATGCCTTATATCCCAGCACTCGGGAGACACAGCCAGGCGGATCTCTGTGAGTTCGAGGCCAGCCTGGTCTACAGTGTGAAATCCAGGACAGGCACCAAAGCTACACTGAGAAATCCTGTCTCAAAAAACAAACAAACAAAAAAGAGATGCTCTGGTCATGGTGTCTCTTCACAGCAATAAAAACCCTAACTAAGCCGGGCGGTGGTGGCGCACACCTTTAATCCCAGCACTTGGGAGGCAGAGGCAGGCGGATCTTTGTGAGTTCAAGGCCAGCCTGGTCTAGATGAGTGAGATCCAGGAAAGGCGCAAAGCTGCACAGAGAAACCCTGTCTCGAAAAACCTAAAAAAAAAAAAAAAAAAAAACAAAAAAAAAAAAAAAAAAAACCCTAACTAAGACAGTGAGAAAGGCAAGGTGGCAGGAGGATGAGGGAGCTGGTCACACTAGGTCCTGAGTCAGGAAGCAGAGAGTCATGTAGTGTTCAACTCCTTCCTTCTTTCTTTTCAGCCTGGGACCTGAGGCCCCGGGTGCTGCCATCCACCACATTCATGGTGAGTCTTTCCGCTTCAATTAAACCGCTCTGGAAAATGTCAGAGATACACCCAGAAGGTGTGTCTCCTAGGTGATTCTGTATCTGATGGAATGCCAAGGAGGGTTCACCATCACACCTACCCACCCTCGTTCCAAAGGCAGTAAGATTATCGTTTCATTGGCTTGGTGACACACACCTGTAATTCCAGCACTGGGGAGACTGAGGCAGGAGGATTGAATGATTTTGGTCAGCCTAGCCTACACAGTGAGATCCTGTCTCAGAAAAATAAAACAAGAACTCACCGTTGCCCATCTCTTGTACTGGGTTCGAGGCAGACAGAAGACGACAAGCTGTACCAATGTCTGGTGTTTTCCTGGGGGCCTCTTGCACATTGGCTAGATTTGAATCCAGCTCCACCTGCCTGAGAACCTGGAGGAAACTGAGAGGGAGACAGGCAGGTGGGAGACAGCCCAGGCAGGCACCGGGTAAAGGGTGGGCACTTCGGTTCTTCTCCACCAGCTCCTGTGCACCAGGCATCTTACGAGAGGGCCCACTGGGGCTCAGAACGGAAGAGGTAGAAGCCAGCAGAATGTGTTAGTAGCCACCCCTGCAGCCTAGCAGCTTCAGACAACAGCCAGCCCAGAAAAACCAAACACCCGATTACAACATAGGCAAGGAATTTAGAGACATTTCTTTCAAGAAGATGTATGACAGCCCACACGGACACGAAACCTCATCACGAGTCAACGAGAAAATGGAAGTCAAACCCACAGTGACATTCTGCCTCGCACTCCTCAGGATAGCAGCTGCTACCAGAGGGGAGAAAATGACAAGCTCTAGCAAGATAGAGAGGAACAGAACCTTAAACACCATGTGGGGACCAATAAACCCGGCAGACATCAGGGGAAACATTGTAAGCCCCAAAGCATTAAAAACAGAGCTGTCCTATGATACAGCAATGCTGGTTCTCGGTTTGTACTCCCAAGTAATTAAAAGCAGGACCTTCAACAGATATTTATCTACACAGGTTAAAGCAGCATTATTCATGGTAGCTAAAAGGTGGAAGCGGGGCCTGGTGGGTGGAATATCAAAGCCTGGTAAAAACATAAGGACCTGAATTGGATTCCCAGAACCCATGTAAAAATTCTGGGTGTGGTGGTACACTTGTAACCCCAGTTCTGGGGAGGTGGAGACAGGAGGATCTTTGGGACTCACTTGCCAGCCAACCCTAACCTAATTGGTGAGCTCCAGGCCCAAAAGTTTCAGACTAGCTGGTGGAGTGCCTGCCTAGGGAGCATGAAGCTCTGAGTTCAGTTCCCAGCACTGAATAAACTGGGTGTGGTGGCATGCACATGTAATCCCAGCATTTAGAGAGAGGCACTTGGGAGATAGAGGCAGGAGGATTAGAAGAAGTTCAAGGCTGTCCTTAGCTACATAACAAGTTTGAGACTCTGTCTCGGAAAAAAAAATATAACAAAATAAATAAAAACAAAAAGTGGGGAGCATGTTTCTGAGGATGATGCTTGAGGTCATTCTTCAATGCAGCAGTAGTGCATGCATGCATGCACATGCAAACACACACACACACACACACACACACACAAAGGCTACAATCATTGTATTATCTCTCATAGTATCTGAGTGTGAGGAATTTGGGAAGGGCTTTGCAGCATGATTCTAGATGATTCTGGGCAGTTCTGCATGACTCTGCATTGAAAAATTTTGACACCCTTGTGTCCCAGAGGGCAGGAACGAAGTTCTAGTTGCGTAATCAGGTGCTCTGACGGTGCTTTTAGGCTGCCAGCCACTGGAAGAGCCAGGACTGTACACCAGGCAATGAGGGGCCCAGGAGTCCATGGCCAGCTGCCAAGAAGGAAACACCGAACAATAGCCCTCAAGAGGCCTGGCCTCTGGGAGCCAGATTTGCCCTTCCAGGACAAAAGCGACTTCCTCTGTAGGAAATGATCTGCCGGGAGGGCTTCCTGTGGGAGCAGGCTGAGAGGATCTAAGGAAGACGAGGTTGAGGAATGGAGTCCTAGATCCCCACCATCCTGTATCTCCGGGCACTGAAGTCATGGAGGATAGCTGGATGCTGGGCTACTAACCATTGGCATACTCTAAAAGAGACCCTGAGTTTTGAGCCTGGTAATGAGAAGCCATATTAGTTTGTTTCTTTATCCATGGCTATTCAAGCTTGTACCCTGGTGCCTTCACTTCCCCTTCCAAAAAGGGGGGGGGGCGGGGTATGAATCTACTGTCTCCTGTGCCTCTGGGTACCACATTTACACAAACAACTGAGGCTCAGGAGTGACCTCAGGTCCCTCCTTAATCTCCTGGGGGTAAATAGCCAACCCTTTGAGTGTGGCATGGTGAGGGTACTGTCTCACTCCACCATTTGGGGTCCCTAGGCAACAGTCACCAGGCTGTGCTGCTGGGAAATGGAGATGAGAAGCCCTTGGAGAGGAGATGCCTGGGTTCTTGTGCCTTCCTTCTGAACGAACCAGAACTACTCCAGGAAGCAGCAGGGCAGGGCAGGCAGTCAAGGATTCATGCCCACTGGAGAAGAGCCAGCCCTGAGAACTGGCCAATATCCAGGCATGTTTAGGTCTTTCTCCAATTTCATCAGCTTTAATTCAAGAACTCCTGGTTTGACTTGGTAGACATGACCATTGGCCATCAGAGACAGAGTATCACATAGCCTAGGCTGGCCTCAAACTCCCTGTGTTGCTAAAGATGGCCTTGAATTTCTGGTCCTCCTCATTTACCTCCAGAGTTCTAGGATTACAGTACCGCTTTGATTGTTTCATGTGGTGCTGGGGAGTAAACCTGGGGGCCCTTGTGCATGCTAGTCAAACACTCTACCAATTGAGCCATAGCCCCAGACCCCAACACAGGTTTGTTGTTTTTTTTCTAGACAGGGTTTCTCTGTGTAGCTTTGCGCCTTACCTGGATCTCGCTCTGTAGACCAGGCTGGCCTCGAACTCACAAAGATCCACCTGGCTCTGCCTCCCGAGTGCTGGGATTAAAGGCATGCACCACCACTGCCCGGCCCAACACAGGTTTTTATTTCAACCTTAGTTTCTTTCTTTTTCTTTCTTTGTTTCTTTTCTTTGTTTCTTTCTTTCTTCTCTTCTCTTCTTTCATCCTTTCTTCCTTCCTTCCTTCCTTCCTTCTTTCTTTCTTTCTTTCTTTCTTTCTTTCTTTCTTCTTTTTTTTTTCTGAGACAGAGTTCCTCTGTGTAGCCTGGCTGTCCTGGAACTTGCCCTGTAGACCAGTAGACCAGTGCTGGGATTAAAGGCATGTGACATCACCACTGGGCTCCAACCTTAATTTCTAATATTAACTCTCAGATCAAGCGTTACAGTTCACACAGCAACACACACAGACACAGACACACAGACACAGACACACACAGACACACACACACACACACACACACGCACACGCGCACACACACACACACACACACACACACACACACACACACACACACACACACACACAGAGTCAGAGGCTTCATGTCTGCACCAAAGGCAGAAGCAGAGAGCCAAACAGACAAGGCTGCATCTCTGTAGCCCTGTAGAAGGCTGGATAAGAAGGTTTACAGTCTGTAGGCACAGAGCTGTCCAGGCAGGAAGCTGTCAAAGACAGGGCCTGGGGGAAGGCAGTTTGGCGTGTCAGTTAGAAGTGGGCTGTGTGTCATAGGCAGGAGAAACTACATTTGTGCTGGAGCAGGGAACAGACAAGGAGGTTATTTGCTATGACAATTTTCCTAGCCAAGGCTCATGATGAGTGACAGGTGAGAGATGAGCGTCTGCCACACTCTGTCTTAGGATGTCCCTCCTCTCATCATCCCAGCTAAGGGTGGCTACACCATTTTTGGTCTGAAGTATTTGATAAGTTTATGGGCCTGAATTTTCTGGTATGCTTTATTTTCATTTATTTTTGTGTATATAGCTGTTTTACTTGTCTATATATGGGAACACCACTTGTATACAGTGCCTGTGGAGGCTTGGAAGAGGGCATCAGATCCCCTGGAACTGGAGTTACAGATGGTTGTGAGCTGCCATGTGGGTGCTGGAAACCAAACCCAGGTGCTCTGGAAGAGCAGCCAGTGCTCTTAACTGTTGAGCCATCTCTTCAGACCCTCTGACATGGTTTGATGTTCCTGTGTGCTCATTTGTTAAATTCGTACGTGGTAATACTTTCTTTTTAAGACAGTTTCCAACTACTCCGTAACCAAGGATGACCTTTAACTCATGATCCTCCTGCCTCTACCTCCTAGTGCTGGGATTGCAGGTGTGCAATACCACGCCCTGTTTCTGATCTGCCAGGGATGGGAACCAGAGTGCCATGCATGCCAGGCAGGCACTCTACCAACTGACCTTTATCCCTAGCTCCTGGTAAATATGTCATTTATTTGCCTGAGCCAGATAGATTGTACTGGATAGTTGGTGGCTGTTTAAGATTCAGAGTCCTGCTGGGTGGTGGTGGCGGCCGCCGCCGCCGCCGCCGCCACCACCACCACCACCGCCGCATGCCTTTAATCCTAGCACTCAGGAGACAGAGGCAGGTAGATCTCTGAGTTGGTGGCCAGCCTGACTAGGCTACACAGAGAATCCCTGTCTCAAAAAACAAAAACAAAACAAAAACAAAAACAAAAAAAACAAAAAAGCAAATAAACACAAAAAATATTTTGGCAGTTGTAGTCAAAATGGAGAGAAGTACTGTTTTATAAAATGGAGTCACTCAGGGCAAAGGGCAGCCTGATACCAAGTGTTTTATATAATGTGGAGTAACCTAGAGCAAGGTACAGCCTGACCTCCTCAGGAAAGCACCTTATGGGCCATAGGCAAGCTGTGCCACTAAGGAAGACCTTGGGTACTTTTGCCCAGGGAGGAAAGAAAGGGTAGGAACAATTGAAAACTCAAGAGGCAAGAATGGAGTCAGTCTGCCTCCATGAAACCTGATGAGGGGTGAGACACTGACCATGGCAGAACACGTTAGAAAGGAACCAGATGGGGTTGCTGAGATTTGGAGTGGGGGCTAGGGCAGGTGGTAGCCAGTATTGCCCGGAAGATGAGGGGTACTGGGTGGTCCTCAGTAAAGAGGGGCTTTTCCACCGAGAAGGACCAACACAGGTGAACACAGGGACGAGGATCCATGAGTTCAAGGCAGCAGTAGCTTCTGGGGCTGTCAGTGGTGGCAAGGGTTACCAAGGGCCCTCACATTGTTCTCACCAAGGACTTCAAGTGTCCTGATCTTAGCCCAGTGCATCCCTCTGAGGAGGATGGCTCAGGGAACACACCGGGACCCCCACAGGGAGCCAAGAGGCAGCAGGGCTCTGCAAAGTGCCTTCCTATCATCTTTCTTTGCAGTTTCCTCTGCCGGGAAGCAGGAGAGCCAGGAAGCTGGAGAGGGAGAGGGAGAGGGAGGGGGAGGGGGAGGGGAAGAGAGAGAGAGAGAGAGAGAGAGAGAGAGAGAGAGAGAGAGAGAGAGAGAGAGACTAGAAATCAGGAGGGAGGCCTGGGATTATAAAGGAGGCAGATGGGTTGGGGGAGGAGCAGGAAGCCTGTGACATCACCACACAGCTGTAAAAGTGATGTAAAGTAACCCAGGAGCTTGCAGGGCCACCGTGGAAAGAAGAGAGGAAGAAAGACCCCGGGGGGCAAGCTCTTCCCAGGAGAAGGCTGCTGCTGATATTAGAGGTGGGCGGCCCCCACTTTATATTTGGAGGAAGCCGGCAGCCACTGCTTCCGTCCAGCTTCTCCCAGCCCACTAGGCAGGGGAAGATCACTGTCCCTGTGGGAGTGGGCTGAATGGCATGCCACCCAAAGGTGTGTCTGGTGATGGCTCCTGGTAGGCGGGCTCTTCTTTGAAGAGACAGGTGGATCTCACCATGACATCTCCCTGAAACCCAGTGGTAGGTGTCCTTTTACAAAGAGAGCCGAGGTAAGGTGTAGTGAAGCAGAGGCAGCTAGAACAAGGAAGGATCGACCTATCACCTTCAGAGGGGCTCCCAGGATGCTTTGTTCTCAAACCTGGCTCTGGAATGGCTTAAGCCAAACCCACTTTGTAGCGAATTTCTCTGGGAATGAATACGCCAGGACTCTGTTCCCGGGTCATCAGCTGCGAGTGAGTGACAGAAACAGAATCTCCTGGATGCTTCAGCTTCCTCTGCAGAGCTGTAGAGAGGTCACGAGGAGCTCGGAGGGCAGGGGCAGGGCAGGGACAGGAGCGGGCAGCGCCAGAGGAAGCTGCATGCAGACCTGCCGACCTCAGGGGAAGCAATCTCAGAGAAAGTGCCGCCTGTGGTCAGCGGTCTGCAGGCAAGGAGGAAGTGGCAGCTGCCCGGCCCTGGGCTGTGCCTCTTCCTCCACTGTTCCCAACAAGAGTGAATTCACTACAGCTGAAGCCTCGGTAGCCCACAGTCCTACTCCCTTCTACATATACACACAGAGCCCTCCGGAAGGCCTGCACCTCGGTGTATAGTTTTCCTTAAAGGTAATCCATCACCTGGTAGTGTGAGCATTGGTCCCACAATTTCAGGGTCTCTCCTTGCAGACCCCAGGTCTTCAAGGTCCTCTGTCCATACTGAGCCAGGGGCGCTGAAGCTTCCCTAAACTTCCTCTCATCTGACCACCCAAGCCAGTTCTTGCAGCCATCTGCAAACCGTACTGATGGAACGGACCACATTCCTGCCATGGGACACACTTCCTGCTTTCAAGTCACTTAGCCTCAGGGACAGGGAAAGATATTAGGGGCACAGAAAGACGCGAAGCAATTAAATTGGTTCAGGCACATTAGGTCGGCTGCAGCAGATGGACAGAGAGGAAGAAATGCAGAGCGGGTGGCATCTCCCAGGATAAGTCTCTCTGCCTCAGCAAGCTATGACCTGGGTGGCCACAAGTAGTTCACCCTCTGATCACAGGGACAGTGTCCGGGAAAGATTAGGGCAGAGCAGACCCTCTGAGCACTCCAGGTGACTTGACTTACCTGGCCTGCAGGAAATGAAAAGGAAAGAGAGAGGAACACGCCTGCACTAGGTAGATACGAGATGGGCAGGGAGAGGAGACAGTTTGAGGGCCTTCGGGAGGCAGTCCATCTTTGGCAGAGCACGAGGCTGGGTGCCTGAAGGAGCAGACAGTTACTACCTTGTGTTGGAAGCCAGAAGTCTACACGGTCAGAGGCTCCCTGGCAGGAGGACTATTCTTCTAGTCTCTGTCCCAGGGGCCTCTTGGAGCTGCATCCTCCCATGTCTGCCTCTCTGTCGCCTCTGCTCTGTGGTATCCATATGTCTCCTTCTCTTCTTGTGAAAACACTAATCTTTTGAGGTTGGGAGAAGCTGGTATCATTGAGACCCTATTTCCAAGCAAGTGCTGGCAATCGCTGGCAGTGAGTCTTTTGAAGGGCATGATTCACCTCACGTTGGGGGGGAGAACAGATGGGAATCTGCTGCTGATTGGAGGGTGGGAAGCAGAGGAGTCTCCGGTTCCAAGGCAGTTCTGAAACAGGCATGCGGGACCTGATGGTCCTAGCCAGCAACTATGGCTTCCTAGAGCTCCTGGCGAGGAAGGGAAAATTGGAAGAAAGCCTAGGCCAGCCTGCTGCAGCACTCACTACACTACAGGCCTTGGGGGCATGGAGCAGGAAGAGCTGAAGCCTTCTAAGCAGGCAGGGCAGACCCCCAGAGAAGTGTCTTCAGAACTAAGAACGCCCACTACGGCCTGGAATAGCAGGCTTGTAATCTTAGCTACCTGGGAGGCTGAGGCAGAAGGATGGCAAGTTTGAGGTCAATCTGGGAAGCTCGCTAGGACCTTATCTCAAAATAGAATGTAGGTTTCAAATGTAGACAGACGAGGGCTTGTTGAGTCTCTGTAAGACCCTAGGTTCAAAGCGACAACGATTTAAAAAAATGCAAGGGTAAGAAAGAAGGAGAAATGTCAAGGGCAGTCTGTGAAGACTGACAGCTCCCAGTCTGGCCAGCCCAGTCTTTCCTGAGCTCATGGCCGGCCACTACTCATCACTTGGACCACTCCTCCAGTGCTACCTAGCCTTGCTACGCTGGCTCCAGTCTCCAGATGACTCCTCCTATCCTGGTCCACGGCCTCTTCTAACCACATTCTCTCTTAAATCTGCTGCTTGTGAAACCCACGGCACTCTGCGCCTACCCTCATTCCCAGTGCCCCCTAAATCCCAGTGCCCACGGACTCGGGCAGCCGATGAAAGCAACCGATCCTCCCCAGCCAGTCTATCCTACTCAGTCTCTGCATGAGGTCCCCACAGCCCACCCGTGACCCTGGCTTTACCCCAGCACTGGCTTCTCAGTTCTGGAAACCTGCCCCACCTACCTTTGGTACCCTTAGCTGGCTCCCACTAGACTCTCTTTAGCTCCATCCATCTTAGGACCTGTTTGTTTTGTGCGTTGGCTGACCCCACCCCCACCCCGACCCGGAGAGGATGGCATGGCTGTGTTCTCATCCATTCTACCCAAGAGCCAAACAGAGACCCGGCAGCCTGCATCTTAGGAGAGGCCCTGAGTAGCCCCTGCACCTGGGTCCAGGCTAAAGGCTGTAAGACAGTTGTGTGGGATACGAGAGGTGGGAACAGGGAGCTGTTGACACTTTGGGAGGAAAACCACAGCTGCTGTCTGCATATCCTGGCTGACTCTACTCCAAACAGCCTTGCTCCATCTCCTGTTATGGGCTGGTCCCTGCTCATGGCAGAACTCCTTAGGAGTACCAGGAACAGTACCCAGCTAGGATGACTGATAGGAGTTCACACCTACTCCAGTAGCACTCTGCTTCTCTTCACACGGCTTAACTGTATCTGTTAGTTTTGTTGCAAAAACTAAATGAGAAAGCCGGACAGGGGCGGCACACGCCTTTAATCCCAGCACTCGGGAGGCAGAGCCAGGCGGATCTCTGTGAGTTTGAGGCCAGCCTGGGCTACAGAGAGAGATCCAGGACAGGCTTTAAAACTACACAGAGAAACCTTATCTCGAAAAACCAAACAACAACAACAACAACAACAACAACAACAACAAGACTAAATGAGATAGTACATGTGAATGTGCCTAACACAGTTCCTAGCAGATATGATATGTATCTAAGGGAAACTACTGTCCTTGGAAGAAAAGGCAAACTTGTGGGAACCTATGCACCCGGGGTTTAGTTTATGGAGCCTTTCACTAACCTATGCACATACACAGGTTTTTTTTTTGCCTATGTGGAAAACAGGCTTCTAAGATGACCTAAGAACTGGAATCATGGATGCACAGATTGAGCCACTGGTTGTCTGAAGGGCTCCCCCTTTGCACAGATCTAAACCCCTTGTTGCTGTGCTCGTTCACTCCAACCTAGGGCCCTCTTTGGTTCCCTTGACTCATTGTCTCCATTATATCAGGGCAGAAAAATGTACAGTGGGGAGGGAGTTCATGTTCACCATTGTTTATCCTCATGGCACTTAAATGTCACCCCTGCTACGTATGAAAGCCCGGCTGAGATGAGTGCTTAGAACAGGCAACATTTGGAGGAGTGGCCTCCCAGATGGTCTGCCACTCTGGGCTGGCAACTTCCAGTCTGGCTTCCTTTGCTGTTGTCACGGGAGTTGCTGTTGCCATGGTATTTCTGTGTGCAAGAGAGACGATCATGCATCTTGTCAGCTTCTGGGACTCTCATCCAGAGAGCTTCAGAGTAGGGTAATGGGCAGACTGTCTGCAGATACAGTAGAGGAGGCTGCAGAGTGTGGGAGAAGGCCCTTCTGGGCTCCCATATCTTGTACGGAAGAGACTGGAGAAGAATGAGAAATGCCTAGACCACCTCCAAACCAGAAGCGAGGAGGTGTAGTGCAAATTTGGGACAGGACAGTTGCAAAGCATGGTGAGGCCTCAGCAGTACAGGTCAGTGAAACAGAAGTCTGGGCCTCGATGCTTGCAACACCAACCGGCTAGTTCCCCATGCAAATGTCCAGATGATGTGTTTTGTTTTTTTTTTTTTTTTTTAAAGATTTATTTATTTATTATGTATACAGTGTTCTGCCTACATGCATGCTTGCAGGCCAGAAGAGGGCGCCAAATCTCATTTCAGATGGTTGTGAGCCACCATGTGGTTGCTGGGAATTGAACTCAGGACCTCTGGAAGAACAGCCAGTGCTCTCAACCTCTGAGCCATCTCTCCAGCCCCCAGATGATGTGTTTTGTTTATTGTTTTTTGGTTCTCAGATAAGGTTTTGATTTGTAGCCCAGGCTGGCCTTAAACTTACATCAGTCCTTCTCAATCTCATAGGTGCTAGGATTAAAGGAGTGAGCCACCATGCTTAGCTCTAGATAACATGTGTGTATATGTGTGTATGTGTGTGTGTGTGTACACACACAAGTGTATAAAGGTTGGTACAGATATGAGTGCACGTGTGTGCACATATATATGCATGCATGTGTGGAGGCCAAAGAAGAACCTCATGTACGGCTCTTCAAATGCTGTCCACTTTGTTTTTAGACACAAACTCACTCACTGGTCTGGATAGCAAGTTCTTGGCCAGGTGTGGTAGTTTGAGAAAAAATAACCCCCAAAGGGAGTGGCACTATCAGGAAGTGTGCCTTTGTTGGAGTAGGTATAGCCTTGTTGGAGGAAGTGTATCATTGTGGGAGTGGGCTTTGAGGTCTCATATATGTTCAAGCCATTCCCCGTGACTCAGACCACTTCCTGTCACCTGCAAGGGAATAAGGTAGAGGGTGATAGAATGGGACACAATGTTCTCTGGCCTCCATGTGTGATACCCATACATAACCATTCACATATACACCACACACATACACACACACACATCACATCTCTCTCATACACACACACACACACACACACACACACACACACACACACACACACTTTTTTTTTCCGAACAAGTTCGAAACCATCAGTAGATTACACCAGAGCCCTGCGCCCCCATGATCTAGGACTGCTCCCATGGACACACCCTGAAGCTTCTTACTTCTTACTTACACTTACTTCTCTCTCCAGTGTCTCAATCTTACCAAGACGACAATCGACAATCGTGGTTAACCATCACAACTTCCCAGAAACTGACGAAAGGAAACAGTGAGTTCAAACCACCCCACGTAAGGGTGGGATAGGTGTAGAGGAGGAAGCCGAGAGGAGAGGGATGGAAGAAGTGGGGAGAAGGTTGCTCTTTGTGACGCCTCTGGCTGTGCAGACCCTGCAGGCAGAGCTGGGGGCAGCCTGTGCCTCCCTCGGTGCTTGGTGGGGACTGCAAACTGCCTCCCGGCAGTCTCTTGGTAGAACTTCCTTGTGTGGTCATCTGCCTGTCTCGTCCTGTTGTTATAGCCTCTAAGCTTTTCTCCTCTTGACGACCATCAGAGCAGCAGAAGACAGCACCTGGGAAAACAACATTGGTGGCTCTCTTTGCTCCCACCCCTCCCACTCAAAGCATGCTGCCCATCTCCCTTCAGCAGCAGGATGTGACCTGGCAGAAGACAGCCTTGCCCTGGGCTTGGGGAGCAGCAGAGGAGCCCAACCCTGGAGTTCTCTCCTTAAATACAAGCAGAAATCTTGGCTGGAGAGCCTCCCTTGTTCCACTTATGCCGTCCTCTGTCTGTAAATTAAACCCAACAAGACCCCAGTGAACCCTAACTATGACACCTGATGGGCAAAAGGGAGGGCGACCTCTTTATAAACCTCTGATTGTACCCTGGTTTGCCGCCTCCACTCAGTGCTGGTGCCTAGACGGCTCGTCGTGGGGGTGGCTGTTTGATCTGTGGGAAAAGCATCAACTCCATAGTCAGGGTTTTCAGCAATGAAAGACAAGCGCTTATAGCCTTGATTCAGCTCGAATGTGTCAGTCTCTTCCCTGTCTTGTAGTTCATCGTCTCCATTTGTCTGAAGTCACAGTGATAGTCTTACTGGGTACAGGTTCTATGGCAAATGCTGGGAAGAGTTTAAGTGATGGGAAAGTGCCAGTGTTTGGACAACTTCATCACTACGGCCTCTTGGGGCACCACAACAAGGGCACGTTTTAAGAACTGTGTCACAGGAGGAAGGGCGGGGGATGGTTCAGTTGGTAAAGGGCTCGCTTCGCAAGCAGGAGGACCTGAGTTTGATAACTGGCACCCATGTAAAAAGCCAGGTGCAGCAGTGTGCATGTGTAATCCCAGTACTTCAGGGGAGAAGCTGGGAGGATGCTGGGGGATGCTGGGGCTCACTGGCCAGCCCTTCTGTCAGAATCCATGGGCTCCAGGTCCATGGAGAAACCCTGTCTCAATACATAAGGTGGAGCACAGTTGAGATTGAGGAAGACACTTAACATCAACCTATAGCATCCCCTTGTACAAACACACATGTACACACACACAAAACATGTATGCATACACTTATAGCCAGGTGTGGTGGTGAACCCTTGTAATCCTGGTGCCATGAGAGAGGGACAGAAGGATCCCTAGGATTTGCTGGCCAGCCAGCCCATCCTAATCTGCAAACTCCAGGTGGCAGTGAGACACTGTCTAAAAAAATAAAAATAAGCCGGGCGGTGGTGGCGCACGCCTTTAATCCCAGCACTCGGGAGGCAGAGCCAGGCGGATCTCTGTGAGTTCGAGGCCAGCCTGGGCTACCAAGTGAGTCCCAGGAAAGGCGCAAAGCTACACAGAGAAACCCTGTCTCGAAAAAACCAAAAAAAAAAAAAAAAATAAAAAAAAAAAAAATAAATAAAAATAAAACAAGGAGCCCGGCGTAGAGGCACACCTCTCTAACCCCAGCACGCAGGGGCAGAGGCAGGCAGATCTCTGAGTTTGAGGCTGGCCTGGTCTACAGAGTGAGTTCCAGGACAGTCATAGCTACATAGTGAGACTCTGTCTCAAACACAAACAAACAAATGAAATAAAATAAGGTGGAAGGTTATTTTGAGAAACCACATCCAAGGTTGAGTTCTGACTACTACACACATGTACACCCAGATGCATACAAACAAAGATGACAGCTTTATCTCCAAGCTCATGTCCACCCTGTAAAAAACAAAACAAAACAAAACAAAAAACCAAAACAAAACAAAAAAAACCCAGCAAGGCACACAGCTACCATCAGCAAAGAGACTTTGGAGATGCAAGTGTGTCTGCCTGGGCTCATTGCTGCCCTGCACAAAACAAGAGGACAAATTCTGGGTGTGGGGGAACCCTTTAGTTTCAGCTAACCTATGCATTAAAGTAATTGTCCTCTGACCTATGAAGCTCAGAGCCATAAAGCCACTTACTTGCCTGGGTAACATGGCCAACAAAGGCATGAACCCAAACTGGGAAGGGAACTTGAGGGATTCCAGAGCCCTTATACTTTATGCACTAGGAATTTGGACAACAAAACCACGAACCACACACATATCAACACACTAAGGCTATATGTGTGTCACGGCTAGGAGTTGAAACGCTCTTGCAGGCTTGTGTGTTTAAGGCTTGGTTGCCAGTAGGACAGTTTTCAGATCACGGGTCTCTGACCTCACTGGTGGATTGTAGTTCAAGACAAGAGCCCTCAGCCTCCTGCTGCCATGCCTTTGCTCGGCCATCATGGATGTTAGCCCTCTGGAACCATAAGCTCAAATAAACTTGGTTCTGTAAGTTGTCTTGACCCAGGTGTTTTATTACAGCAATAGAAAAGGAACTAATCCAAAGGTTGTGTCTTATAGTGGCAATGGCAGCTTCTTTTTCTTCCTCCTCATCCTCCTCTTTCTCCTTTTCCTCTTCCTCCTCACTCTGTCTGTCTCCCTCTCTGTCTCTATCTGTGTCTCTGTCTCGTTCTCTCCCCGTCTCTCTCTGTGTGCATCTTTCTCTCCTTTCCCTCCTCCCTGACTGCCATGCAGTGAGCACCTTACTTCTCCACTATGATGCTTTTGCTTCGTCACAGCCCTGAGTGACAGGCCTGAGTGACCTGAGTGACAGAGATCAGAAACCTCCAAAACCATGAGCCGAAAGATGTCTTTCTCCTTGACGCTGACCTTCCCAGGTAGTTTGTCACGGTGATGATGAGCAACTGACCGAAGCAGACACAGCACTCACAAGCCTGTCCTTCACAGGGTGCAGCCCCAGAGAACAGGCCAGCACCTGCTGTCGATCTCCAGTCCTTCCAACCCCTCTCCCACACCCGTCACTCACCACAAACGTGACACTGAGTTCATAAACGGGTTGGTGAAAGTCCCTGGTTTTTCCCAATCTCTCATGGACCTTTGTCCTGGATGGCTCTTGTGCGACTCCCCCAAGCATCCCTACTTCTTTTCTCTCTTCCCTTTTACTCGTTCATGCAGCTGTGAGACCTTAAAGAACCCACCTGGGCATAGAATCCGCCTTGAAGAATGAAGAGGAGAGAACAAGGGATCAGGTTAGAATTCTTCATGTGCCAAGGGGGAAGGCAGCTGGGATTACTTGAATAATTTTGGCCTTATAGTTACATATATATTTTTATATCTGAATGTATGCTACAGTGTAATTCACTGTGAAAACTTTCTGGGCAGTTTCTGTTACTGTCTTGAAGCCATGATAGATGCTGTCCAGGGATGAAGTACTTCACATTTAGCACCATGGCCCTGATAAATGCATGAATATGAACTGAATATCTAGTCTGGATGGCTGGCTCCTTCACAGTGTTCTGGTTTTGTTCAGAGTCCTTCCATAACTCCTTATATCACCCATAAGCTCTCACTATTACAAGGCTGTATTTTTACCTTCTGCCGGTATATTGGTTTGATTTGTGAATACTGGGGATTGAACCTGAGGACTTGCACACGCCAGGCAAATGCTCTACCACTGTGCTCTATTTCCAGACTCTATTTTTGCTTCCCTACATTGCTTTCTAGTGTCCGAACTGACCTACGTAATCTACAGTTCTGTGTAAGTGATATACACATATCTGTAGCAAGCTCTGTTCCTGCTCCATGTTGCCACCAATACTATTGAATGCATGCATTAGTGAACTGGTTTGTTCTGAAGTTGTGGAAGTGATCCACAGAAGGTCAGTTGGAGAGATCCAGCTTGACTTTCTAGAGGGCACAGAGGCAGGGATCCTGGAAGCAGCTGGCTGTGCTGCACCCAGTGGGTCCCTGCATAGAGTTCTACCAGCCCATTACGTGGGGGAAGCTGAGCTGTCTGGGCCACTGAGCTGTTCAGCCTTGGTGGTGCCAGGGCAGTGTCACAGCCCTCACGAGTCACAGGGATGAGAGAGCCACAGAGGGTCGGGGAGGCTGGTGGGAGTCACGGGATGGAACTGCCTGAGAGAAAGGAGCTGGGAGGTGAGTTGGGGCTGGCCCTCTCATGTCTACTTCCTGCCCTTGCTCCAGGCCTTGTCTCTCTTTAGAACCCTGTGTTTATTGGTTCCGAGGACCAGGGCATAGCACATACAACCAGGAATGTCATAGGACAGAGCCTCAGGGCCTGGTTATCCATGGCTTCTAGCCCCCATGGGCAACAGAACTCATGGTGACTCAGAGTCTTTATGACTCCTTCCAGCTCCTCTTCCTCTCTGCTTCTGTTCCTGACTCACAGCTGAGCTCCCCACCCCTCCTGCTGACTCATGGCTTCCTCCAGCTGACTTCTTTATCTCCCTTGTGGCAGCCTGGCTTCTCCTGTCTTGGGGCTGGCTTTCCTTGCATCCTTGTTTTTCAGCTCCAGCCTCTACTACCATCCCCCAGACTCTCTCACTGTCTCCCAGTGCAAATGCCCTGGGTCAGAACAGCCGCCGACCAGCCAGCCACCTAGGCAGCTTCGTAAGAAGAGTCAGGCCTTTGGCTGCCATTAGCCCACAGGCTGGTGTCCCAGCATGAGCTGCCTCCCGACTTGACCCTTATCAGCTGGGGCTTCAGGGAGCACCAAGGCCATCATGCCGGAGGACCACCTAAGACAGCGCGCCTCAGAAGGAAAGAGCGAGCATGCAGACAACATGATGGGCGTGTCTGGCAATGCCCTCCATCTGCCCAGTGCTACACAGGTGGTACCCTGGCCTGCCTGTGTTCCTGGTATACTCTGCCATCTCCACTCAGGTGCCACCGTCTTGGGAGGGTCCTCTCAGAGCCACAAATGCCACTTCTCCCTTCTTAGAGCCGCTAACTCCCTTTGTTTCACTTGCCCGAGAGCCTCTGACAACATTTTTGCCTTACAGGTCTTTGTGGAGTAGACAGAGTAATTTAGGTCCATAACCCATGGACCCTTTACGTGACCCTTTTGTAGCAAGAGGGATGTCGCTGGAACGGTTTGCTGTAGAACACTGCCTGCAGGCAAAACAGCCATTATTACCAGCTTAGAAAAGCCGCGGTTGCTTTAAACAAGTTGGGGTCTATTGATGGTCCCTTCCGGAAGGGAGTGGGAGGGTCCTTCGACCCTCACCTGAAAGTCTAGCCACTCTCCACCTCTTGGGCCCCTCTCCCTGCTCTACACAATCCTGCTCCGGCCACACTGTGCCCTCAAGAGATGAAAAGTTGCTGAAGGAGGGACACGCCGTCTGTGTAGCTCTGGGGAAGTAGTCACTTATGCTAGGGTGAAACATTCCAGTGATGCAGCTGTTAGTTGAATATGCTCCTGTAAGTAAGCTCAATAGACCCAGCGGCTCATCAGGGATGTATCCAGACACATGGGGACCTAGATCAGAGTGGGGGTATCTGTGATGCCAGGTACAGCTGCAGAGAGCCACTGCTGTGCCCCACCCTAAACACTATAAGGTATTAGGTCACTCTCTGTCAAGGCCCAGGATAGGGGAGAGTAAGAACAAGGCTGGAGCCGGGTGCATGCCTTTAATCCCAGCACTTGGGAGGCAGAGACAGGCGGATCTCTGTGAGTTCGAGGCCAGCGTGGTCTACAGAGTGAGTTCCAGGACAAGCTCCAAAGCTACACAGAGAAACCCTGTCTCCAAAAAAAAAAAAAAAAGCAAGGCTAGATACAGCCCAAGGACCCTGGAGGTAGGGAGACTGGAGTGGTGGGGAGATGGGAGGTGGTAGTCAGGGACCCATGTAGAGTTGAGAGTCTGAATTTCTAGCATGTGCAGTCACACAGACTGGAAGATAAAAGCATGAACAATTTCAAGATAGGGCCTGGGGAACTTGCAGTCACTGTCATGATTCCCATTTCTGCTTCTAAGCCCAAGGCCTTCTTTAGATGCCCAGGTCACATGCCTCAGAAGTCAAACCCATCAGTTTTCCCCGATGCAGACTGACCAGCTGCTGTCCACTTCCTGAAGCTCTGCCCTGCCTGTCCCCCAGGGTGGCAGTTATAGCCAGGCTCAGCCACTCTCCAGTCTGCACATTTCACTGGCTGGCACTTCCTTGGGTCATTCTGGGCCCAGGAGGATAACCAGGAAGCTGAGGTCTCCCATAGAAATACTTTGCTGGGCCCACCATGTTCCCATTTCTCAGTGGCACCCTTCACACTTAAAGTAATAACTGTGGCCATGAAGATGACCTGCCTCCCCTGGGAGCTGCTGCCCCAGCCAGCTGATCCTCTACCCAGACTGAGACTAAGGTTCAAGGCTCAGGGCCAAAAGCAGGACCACACCCCAGAGCTGTGGCCCTGCAAAGCTGTGCTGGCTGACCTCCATGGTCCATTCCTTCCCCCAAGGCCACAGCCCAGTTTCCTTCCTGCCTGGGCTCTCCTGCTATTCTTTCCTTTGCTGTATCTACCCACTC